CCAAGCCTCAAACTCAAACAAAGAAATGCTCACCCATGTGTTTACTTGTGTAAACGTTTCTAAGACTCAAATCAAAGGAAACATGTTAGCGGATTAAAAAAAAACAAGGATTAATTTCTTTTTTCTGTTTTTCTTATAATTTCCTTTTCCAATTGGTAGAAAAGTCATACGACTCTGATCTAAGTCAAAGGAGGTTCACTAGAAACAGGTCTGGCTCAACAACCGCAAGCTTGCACTAGAGCACAACATCTTGGCAGACCAGGGTCCAACTTTTGGATAAAATCCCCATAATTTTTCCCTGTTTACCAGGAACATGAAGAGTGCAAATAGCTGGTTTCCCTGGGTTGGGTGTCTCCTTCAATGCTTCTCTGCCTCGCTGAGGCTCGACCTATCTTTGCCTGCCTGAAGGTACTGATCTAACCAACAGTATTGACTGAAGGAATAGTGCCAACTGACACTGAGACACAGAGAATGTGAACTTTTCCAGAAATGCAAAAAAAAAATGTTCAGTCTTAGTCTTACAAAAAAGAAATCCAGAAACTTGTGAACAGAGATGAAAAAATATAATTTGTGTGGTGTAAAAGTTTCTTAGTTTCTGAGATACGTCCTGGAGTAAGAACATATTTTCCAGAGTGTCTCACTTATCAAACCAAGTCTGTAGTTGGGGCCTTGAATGGGGAGAGAAAGGAAACATTAAGATAAGCAGGAACAACCAACCAGTGTGGAATTGCTAATTCCAAAGTAATTCCAATATCTTTGGTCTGAAGTTTTCAGAAGAAACTCATCATCATTTCTTCCTTCTGCTTTGACCAAAATGTATATGAATGTTTTTAACCAAGTTATGTAACCAAACATCATTTGATTTATGGTGTCAAGAAGTGTCAAGACCTGTCATGGATGACATTTTTGTTTCAGTCATATATTTGCATTTATGTGTTTTTTTGTTGGACAGACTGCCAATCCAGTTTCTACGATCAAGTCAAATATGTGTAATCTGTATTTTTGCATATTATTAAATAAAAACCAATAAACCATTTGAGACTACAATACTACATTTAAAAAAAAAATAGGACCAAATCAGCAAATAGATACCAGTTTTTTAAAAAAAGGAAAACTGATCTCTACACACAGAATTCAGGTTTACACAGTGGACTAGCTTGTTTAAAGAGCTTGGCCTGTACGTTGCAGGAAAATTCAAGAGGGTAAAAAACAAAGCCCACTCGCCGTTTTGGGCTATGCAAGAGTTTCAGCTCTAGATCTAACGTCATAATTTTGCTCCGCAGGGAATAGACGACAAGAGAAAAAGGCATAGGGATGCGTTTGACCTTTTTTATGTTGAGACAAGATGGCTCCCACTCCAGAATCTAATGCATCCACATCCACTGTTGTGAGAGGTTTGGTTGAGAAAGGATGGGAGCAGAAGTGAAGTGTTGTTTGAGAAAGTCGAAGGACGACTGAGCTGCTGGGGTTCACTGGAACTGTGATTTGGCAGGTTGGGTTAGAGGAATGGCAACTTTACTGAAGTCCCTAAACACTGCTCCCCGGGCGCCCAATGCTTCACTGAGTGAATGGGTTAAATGCAGAGAGGAATTTCCCCACGGGGATCAATAAAGTACACTTTCTTTTCTTTTTCTTCTAAAGTTAGCAAAACCAAGGAAATGTTGCAACATCTGCAGTTCTCAGGCAATGGCCAGTCCATGACTGCTTGCACCTTTGCTGGGCCTGGTTTGAGATGTCCCTTTGGTAGCCCAGCAAAGAGACACTGTCAACATAAAATTTGCCTTTTAGAAACAACTTTTTGGGCAGCTGCTGCAGGACTAACCTTAAGTGATTTTATGTTCTGAGAGAGATCGTGAGAAAAATAAGATGTCATCCAGGTAGACAAACATGAAACAATTTATGAAATACCAGATAA